TTACAGCCTCTGAACTTACCGACAGCCTGGATAGTCTGACTCTGGTGTACAGGGTTGCTTGGGTCAGAGCAGACTCAATGGCAGAGGGCTTTGCTCTCTGGGTTTTATGCGGCTTCTAAGGAAGACAACGTGTGGGGAGGTGCTCAGAGTCGGAGGGGGCAGAGCGGAGGGCCGTGCCAGGCTCCGGACTGGGGGCGAGAGGTGCCCGAGGCTCGCTGGCCAGAGTCCAGTGGCCAGTGGCCGGGGAGGTGCGGAGGGGACGAGTGCCCGCTCTCAGAAGCCCCCCATGCCAGCTGCGGCCGGCACGGCCCCGAGGGTGGGCGTGCAGCGGGGCCAATGCCCGGCGCTGCTCTCCTGGGCCGGGCTGCGGCGGCAGAGGCAGCGGGCGGAGCGCAGGGCTGCGAGGACGCGACGGCGGCGGCGGCGGCTGCGCTCCTGGTCGGGGGAAGGTGGCAGAGCTGAGACCGCGCCCCCTCTCCAGGCCCCGCCCCTCCAGCCCCGCCCCCGGGCCGCTGGCCCCGCCCCCAGGCGTGAGGGCCGGGGCTTGGGCGCTGCAGCTGACGGTGCGGGTCCACTCAGGGGCTGAATGGCTTTGGGTCCACACGGTAGAGAAGGGAAGCGGCAAAGAGAGGTCGTGATGCAGCAAGGGGAGAGGCCTTCCTACCTCGGGGGCTTTCCGGGAAGAACTCAGGGCAGGCCTGGGGCCTGTGCTCCTGGAGGCAGCTACCTGTACCCAGGTGAGACCTAGAGTTGCTGATAGGGTACCGCTCACTCCCAAACCCGCCAGGACGCGCAGGACTCTGTGGGCTCTCGCTTTCTTCTGGAAGAAGAGCTGGGAAGGCCCCCTAGGGGGATTGGCACTGGCACCAGGGGTGGTGCCCATCTGCCCTCTCTGGTGGTACGGCCTGACCCATGAGAGGCAGGTATTGGCAGGCAGGCAGGAGCCAGGCAGGGAGCAGCAGGTTGTGGCAGGTCCAACTGGGGTGAGGAGGCAGAGGGGAGGAGAGCAGTAGCGAAGCACAGGGGCACCTCTGCCCTGCGGGCAGCAGGGAAAGCCAAGGCCGTCTCCAACTGTCACTCAGTGTCATCAGCATAGGCACAGAGAGCCCAGAGCTTACCAGCCAAGGAGTAGGACGAGTGGTACGAATGAATCCCTTTTTTAAAAATCCTTTTATTAGGGGCTCATACAACTCTGATCACAATCCACACATACATCAACTGTGTAAAGCACATTTGTACATTCATTGCCCCAAAGAATCCTTATTCCCAGTGCCAACGGCAGAGCATTCTGTGCCCGAGTACACTGCCCCCGCAGGAGGGCACAGACACACTGGCTGTGAGCACATGTAGGTGATGGTTCCAAGATGGAGGAGTGGCACCAGGTTCCTGAGGGGTTGAGGTTCCTGGGCACCGACCAGGACCAGGTGGGGCCAGAAGGTGGAGCCTGGGAGTGGTGGTAGGCCTGAGTAGGGTGTGTACTATACATGTGTCACTGTGTGTATGTCTGGTCTCATGGGTGCTGGAACATGTGTTCACAGAAAGAGCTTTGCACACCCATCTGTTTGTGGATCTGGAAGGGCAGCCAGACATGGTGAGAGCAGTTTTTTGGCAAAGAAGCTGGACTAGAGGTCTGAGAATCAGGCTTTGTGGGTGCTCTTTATCGGACACCATGGCCCCCCCAGGTTGAAAGGGGAACTGACTACATGGCTTGGAGCTTCCCAGGCAGCATTTCCTGAACCGGATGGGGAGACGGGAGGGCTCCTCTCCCAGCACATGCCACAGTTACCAGATTAAGCTGGTTGCCTTGGTAACCTCCTCTCTGGGCAGGATTTGGGATCTTTGTCGGTGAGGAAGGGTGAAGAATTGGGGAGGAGTGTGAAGGGTGTGGGGCATGGAAGTAAAAGGGGTGGAGACTTCTGGAACCTGGAAGGGTGGGCAGCTGAACCCCAGCACTCCTCCAACTACTCAAGACAATCAAGCAGAGACGAAGGTCAAGGCTTTGAATCAAGGCGGAAAGCCTTCCAGATCATGGGCTGAGGGCAGCTGAGTCTTATCCTGACTAGACAATGGGGTCAGCCGGGAGCTTTTCAAAAACACCGATGCCCTATGAATGTACAAATGCACTTTACAATTGATGTATGTATGCATTGTGATAAGAGTTGTATGAGCCCCTAATAAAATGATTAAAAACAAAACACGGATGCCCTGCCAACACCCCAGCCAATCAAATCCAACTGGGAGGTGGGACCAAGGCTGAAAGGTGCCCCAGGTGGTTCTTTTTTGCATCTCATACATTGTCTTTCTCAGCCAGGGTGGCTAGAATTCAGGGTGCCCGATCTTGCCTAGGTTCTGCCCACTCTGCGCCATCTTCACGTGCTGTGGTACATCTCTGCTCCGCTCCTGCTTGCTAGCGTCATCTTTTTAGATCTGAGATGGCCTCAGGACACACCTGACACCAAGTCCCCAGGTGTTTCTAATACCTTTACCTTATTGCCCTTGGGACAACTGAGCCCAAGTGGGCTGCAGATGCTCGGAGACAGACAACCTTGGGACTCACAAGTGCATGTTGGGTAAACCAAGGTAGGAGACCTGTGCGCGGAGCCGAAGAGGAGCCTCTGCACTCGCTCCTGGAAGAACTACCAGGGAAGGAGGTGGTGTGAAAACAACTGTGAAGCAATGGGAACAGAAACTTAATTAGGTGAGAGCCCTGTGCATGGACTTCTGGGAGACTGGGCAAGTGCTGGGTTACCTAAGGCTATCACTGCCCCCCTTACATTCCCCTTCTCTCTACCCACCAGGAGGCAGGCTGGGAGGGCAGAGAGAACCTAAGGGCTTTGCTGAGCTTGAGTTTCTCCTTGCTGAGCTGGTTACCAGGGCAACAGGGAGAGCAATGGGATCTAACTGCAAGACTGGGAAGCTAGAACAGGGGTGAGGTGGGGAGCACTTCTTACACTTTCATTTCTCCTGCCAGTAGCCCACCCCCAAGGTTGCCTGCTATTCTGTACATGACCCCAGAAGGCCAGCCGTTTACCAACCACCCTGTGGGGGAGGAGAGGGAGAGATCTGGCAGAATCTACAGGAGAGGAAGTAGGAATGATCAGGAGAGAAGAGCTACTCCACCAAGACTATGGTTGGGGTGGGTAAGGTTTAAGGTACCCCATGAAGCCTGTCTCTGGTGTGAGACTCTCTGGGACCTACGGCCAGGTGCTGCCAGTTCCAAATTAAACTCTATGAACATACTCCAACCCAGGGCCTGGAGGAGGCACCAGTCAACCAAAGCTGGGTCCAAAGTGTAAGGATCAAGTGGCCTAGCTCATCAGCACTGGACCAAGGCAGGAAGCTCTTTGACTCAGGGCCTGGATACGAACCCGAGACCTTTCCTTTTTTCCAGAGGCAGGTGGCTAAATGCACCATGTCCTCCTCACCCAGGCCTTGTGGAGTTCTGAACATCTGGAGACTCTTTACCCTACATGGGCACTAGGAGCGTTTCTGAGCGTTGCACTCGTCCTTGTGTCCCCGACACTTCTTGTCTAAGGGCCTCTGTGATAGCCTGTTGTCTACCTGGAGTCTGGTGGCACAGTATTAAGCACTGGGCTGAGCTGAAAGGTCATAGGTTCGAACCCACCAGTCTCTCTTCAGTAGACAGATGAAGCCGCCTGCCTTCATGAAGATTTACAGCCTCTGAACTTACCGACAGCCTGGATAGTCTGACTCTGGTGTACAGGGTTGCTTGGGTCAGAGCAGACTCAATGGCAGAGGGCTTTGCTCTCTGGGTTTTATGCGGCTTCTAAGGAAGACAACGTGTGGGGAGGTGCTCAGAGTCGGAGGGGGCAGAGCGGAGGGCCGTGCCAGGCTCCGGACTGGGGGCGAGAGGTGCCCGAGGCTCGCTGGCCAGAGTCCAGTGGCCAGTGGCCGGGGAGGTGCGGAGGGGACGAGTGCCCGCTCTCAGAAGCCCCCCATGCCAGCTGCGGCCGGCACGGCCCCGAGGGTGGGCGTGCAGCGGGGCCAATGCCCGGCGCTGCTCTCCTGGGCCGGGCTGCGGCTGTGTCTTCCAAGTCCGAGAGCGGGCTCAGTCTGTGACTCAAGGGAGGGAGACTGTCCCCTCCTCTCCTCCCTCCCTCATCAGGACCCATGCAAAGCACTGAGAAGTCAAGTTTACAGTCAAGTTTATTATCACCAAGTCACAATGCTGATCACAAATGTGCACCCTTTAAAAACAGTTAACAATATTAACAAGAAACCCAAAACACAACAAAATGCGCATGGAGGACCTTCTGCAACGAAACCCAGGGACTGTCAGAGACAAGTGTCACAGTGTGTTAAGGTCTGGGAATCTGGGCACGCTGCCCACAAGCTTGTGAGACCAGCTTCAGGTTTAAGGCAAAGGGAAGAATCTGCAAAAGGCATGCCCACCATTACCCCAGCAGTATCTGGTCTTTCCCTTCTTGGGGTGTGTGTGTGTGTGTGTGTGTGACAGCTTGAGTGCCTCTCTTCAGCCACACCCCACACCTGTGACGAAGTGGTTAGGCCAGTTGTCCAAGAGAAGAGAAACAGTGACCTGACTGGGGAAGACACGCAGATGCCTTCTCCCCAAGGTCTGTAGCAGGACAAGGACAGCAGCCAAGATGCCCCTGGCAGCCACGAGTGCTAGTGAGGGGACTCTTCTACAGAGAAGGGTCGGGAGAGGCCTTGCCCAGAAGGTGACTGCCTTCTTTAGGCCTTGAGCCCAGGCATGGTATCGAATTCTGTAGGCATTGACATGAGTAGAGTGTGAAGGGAAAGCAGGTATTATCATGTAAAACACTCGTACCAGGAAAGACATGAAGAGGGATTGCAAAGCAGGGAGTAGATTGCTTCTGGGTAATACTTGCCTCTAGAAAGATGCATTGGTCCACAGCAGCTGGAGGAGGAGGAGGAGGGAAGATGGAAAGAAGAGAAGTAGGCCCTCTCTGTCCATGTACCTCAAAGACTGAGGACTGTGCATACAAACCCTTAAGGTGCCCAAGGCTCTCTCACCAATTCCCCCTCCCTGACAAAGCCCTTGGTTTACCATCTCCCTCCACGATAAACCGTGTGCTCCGTGGATGACGGAAGACCGCCAGAGCCCAAGGAGCACTTGGAACTGGCTGGACAACGTAGCGCCATTGTGCAGACAGCTATGCTGAAGGTGAGAACCGTTAAGAGAAGTCAAGTATATAGGAGAACACTAAAGATCAACCCAAATGGAAAGGCCAGCTCTTTGGAGACCCGGGTGGGAGAAAGCTGGCTGATACACTCAACGATTTAGGATATGGAGGAGAGGCAAAAGGAACCTAGAGGCACCAGCAAACCAGCAGAATAAACTTATTTTACTGAAAGACAGAGCAAGAAACAGAAAGAAGAAGAAAACTCCAAACAAAATTATTATTATGAATACCAAGTCAGGCTTTAAAAATGAACATTCTTACAAGACAAAACAGAAGGGAGATTCCTGGGGATTAAAAAAAAAATGTCCCGGGAGGCAGTGACGAGGAGCAGAAGACGCTGGGCTTCCTAGTCCGGACTCCGGAGGCTGACTCAGAAAATGAGTGGAGGGGGAGGGACCCTGTCTTCCCGGTTCTCCCCTTTCCCAAGAGAGCCTGGACGGTGAGGAAGGCTGGCTGACGGCAGAGAGCCCCTTGTGTTGCTCTCCTCTCTGAAGCTTCGACAGGGGTGGAGAACAGGAAAGCAGCAGCAAAATGTTCCTGGGCCTTCGGCGTTTACAAGCCTTTCTGGAGTATTTGCCTTAAAAGAAAAAGGAAAAAGACAAAAAGCTAAACCCACACTTTTCTCCTCCAAAATCTTCAGAACTAGCTCTACCAAAGCACCTAAAACTTAGCCCCTTTCCTGTTCAAGTGAGAATACCATCTGTAATTTTTCCCTTACAGTTTCCCAAATGAAAATATTGCAAAGTTAACAATGGTTTCTATTTCAATCCTGCCCAATGCCAGGACTCCTTTAAACCTCCCCGATAGGCCCTCCAATTACGAATGAAATCACCAATGTGGTGATTCTGTTTACTTGGTAAAACCAAGTAGCCGAAGTATGGGCTGTAAGAGTCAGAGTAAATTGTATACTTACTTTTATAGGTTAGATTTGAAATATTCACAAACAAATTAACTGGAGCCCCGGCTTACAACCTGAAATAATAAAGTTGGAATATTTCATCAGGTCTCACACACACAAAAGCTGGTTTTCCACAGAAACATCCCTAAAGAGGATGGAACTCCTCTAGGCTAAGCAAACCCACTGATGGGGGATGTGCCTCCCGTGTGGGAAGGGGCTGGCATACCTCCGGCGGTGGGGGCTTGATGGTGACTGGCTGGGGAGTCCTCCTGGGTGGGGAGGGCTTCGGCTGCACCTGCTGCTGGGCGGGGTTATAGTAGGTCACACCTCCATAGACCTGTGAAGGGGCCTGGGACATAACAAACCAGAAGATAAAGTGAAGAGTTAATTTATCCAGACGACGACAAACGGGAATCTTTAGTCACACAGAGAATTGCATCCACTATGTACAGTTTTTAAATCTCTCGCTGGTTCCTTTGGAATACAGGGACCAGTCATTTCTACCTTAACATGTCACTCCCATTTCTCCAAGTCCTACCATCAACCGACAAAGGGAAAAAGCCGAGCTCAGTGGTGGGGTTTCATCAGGAGGGGGTGGTGAAATACAGCTGCTTCATGCAGCCAGACAGATGGCAAGAAAATGCCGCCCTTTAGAGTCCAACCTACTGCCACGGAGCCAGTTCTCCGCCCTGAGCCTCTGAAACAGGCAGGGAACCTTTACTGCAGCAGACAGCCCATCCTTCTGGTGGGCCCGAACTATCAACCCCACAGTGAGTGTTTGTGCTTAACCCGCTGCACCAGCTGGACTCCTTTATGATGGCTAAACACCATTGAAGAACTGCAGTGCACGCAGATGTGGGCATTACATAAGCTGCACTGCCAGCTCCTGACCACCAAGGGGCACCACACACAAACCAATGGCATGGAAATGTTCTCGTAAATTCCTTTTGCTACAGGCTCTGCTACACATTCCTGTCTGATTGAAGGGATTTGTACGTAAAAGGATCTGCTCATTAGCCATCTCACCTGTGTGTTAGGATACAGATGAGGAGGTGGTGGGGGAGGCAGAGCCCCCGGAGCATAAGGGTAACTGGGATTACCAAAATTCATGACGCCCGGAGCAGAAAAGTAAGTAGGAGCGAGCAGCTGCTGGGGTGGTGGCTGTCCTGGAGACATGGACACTGGCGGGGGATAGAGACCCGGATTGGGCAGAGGTGCCGGTGTCTGGTGGGGATGTAAACCTGGACAGAGGAAAGAACGCAGAGCAAGAACCAGAAGATAACACTGTTTCCATGGCTTGACCCAGCTGCCCTGCGTTAGCACCAACAGGCTCGGGATGGGCCCAAGGACTTTCTGCTGCTCAAGCAGCCAGGGGAGTCGGCCTCACAAGCAAGCAACAGAGGGGCTCATGAAGCCCCCAACAGGTATCATACGCCCCTACTGGAAACATAAAGCAGAGGAGCAAAGCTTACCTGGGTGGGGCAGGTGCATTTCTGGCTGCACAATCATGCCCTGAGGAGGCAGTGAGGCAGGGCTGTCGCCATGGGTATAGATTGGTCCCTGGAACTGCACTGTAAGATAGCACAGTGGGACTCTCAGGAATCCCCATTCTTCAAATCACATGGACAAGCCTTCTTGTCCCCCAAGCCCTTTAAAAGATGTTCAACAGACAGACAATATCTGATAACCACTGAGAGAGGTCAAAAGGGAAATAGAAGGCTGGTCTCTTGTGAGGGGGTCAAAATATCCCTGAAAGAAGAGGATCCAAAGATAATGGCATTTTCCCACCAACTTTTTGAAGTCTCTTTTGGCCATCAATACAGTACCCTAACAACAGGATGACACTCACGTGGGTCGTAGTAGTGCCCCTCCATGATACTGATATGCACAGGGGGTGCGGGGGGCTCTGGCACCGGTCTCTGTCGCTGGGATGAATAGCGCTTGGCTCGACCACCCTGGACCCCCTGGGATAAAGAGAAAGGCCTTTTTGCCCCTTTTTCTTTGGGCAAAGAGTTCACAGCAAGTCCTACCTTCCTTTAGACCAGTGGTTCTCAACTTTCCTAATGCCGTGACCCTTTCATACAGTTCCTCATGTGGTGACCCCCTAACCATCACGTTATTTTTGTTGCTACTTCATCACGGTCATTTTGCTACTGTTATGAATCAGGTGACCCCTGTGAAAGGGTCATTCGACCCCCAAAGGGGTCCCAACCCACAGGTTGAGAACACAGACCGACACACACACAATCCTCACTATCACTGCTGACTCATAGCAGTGGCCCTATCAGTAGAAATTCCCCTGTGGGCTCCCAAGACTAGCTAGCTCTTTATAGGAGTAGAAAGCCCTCTATTTCTCTTGTAGAGTCGCTGGTATTTTCGAACTGTTGACCTCTCAGATCGTAAGATGGTAGCCCAATGGGTAATCACTATGCCATCAGGGCTCCTAACCTTTTTAGGGGCTGCAAAAATACTACCATATATTACTGGAGTATAAGCCGACCTGAATACCAGCTGAGGCACCTATTTTACCACAAAAACTCAGCCTTCCTAACGTGGCGACCCTTTAATACAGTTCTGTGGGGGGAAATGTGCTGAAAGATTCGGCTTATACACGAGTATATGTGGTCATTTGTTCTGAACAAGACTTTAAAAAGCCAAATAAAAATTTAGAAAATCAAGATTTGTTAACTCGAACCTAAACCCTCTAATCTACATTTTGGAGATCCAAAATAAAAGATGGGTAATCAAAAACAACAACAAAACAAAACAGACGGGTAATCAACGGGGAAACGGAGTGACTCAGCTGTAATACTCCCCTCCCCCCTTCTCTGTACCATTTCTTCCATGCGGTTAAACGGAGGTGGTGGTCCCGCTCCCATGTGGATGTGGTTGGGCACACCTGTAATAAGCGAAGAAGTCACTGCTGGAGAAGAGACAGGCATGGGTAGCGCCCCAAGACGCCCTCAAGAAAATGTCAGGCTGAGGACCCCCGAGCAGGAGGGGCTTTCTCCCCATGCCTTTGATGCTCTCTGCTTCCTGGCAACACTGACAAACCCAACAATCTCACGGCCATTGAGGCAATTCTGACTCCCAGGGACCCTGCAAGACAGAGTAGAACTGCCCCCGTGGGTTTCTGAGACTGATTCTTCACAGGAGGAAGCCTCAGCTTTCTCTCGTGGAGCAGCTGGTGGTTTTTAACTCCTGACCTTGTGGTTAGCAGCCCATCACATCAAACCACCAGCCACCAGTACTTGGAATTTTGCACTCATCATAGCCCACTAATGACAGAAGTCACTGAACAGCTTCTTGGAAAATACAATTTCTTCAGTGAGAACACCTAAGCTCAAAATCCTCCCATCAAGTACTTCCCTACAGCGAATCCCTGAGAGGTGATAAGGGGCACACTGAAGTACATCAGTAGGAGGTACACAGGCACACCAGGTTCCCTTTGGGCTGTGCTACTTTTTGTTCAAGAATCACTCACACCATTCTTCTTTAAGGCTTTATAAAATTTCACATGGCCGAGTTAGACTTCAAAAATCATGGAAAAGGTCCCTCAACCAAGTCTGGTTGGAGGAAGACAAAGTAGAATGGGCAAATGGGTGGGAGGCAGTCATGGTCCCTAGAATCTTGCTGTCCAGAGAGCCTCTGGACACGTGGATTTAAATTAATTGATAAAAGTTCAGTTCCTCAAAGTCACTCTGGCCACATTTCAAATGTTTAAGAACCATTTGAATGTTTCCATCATTCCAGAAAGTTCAGGCAACCCTGTTGTAGGACACTAAGAAAGCTAGAGGTCGCTCAGGAAAATTAAAGATCCTGATCAAAATTTAAACTATGTAAGTTCTTTCCCTCAGACACTTAACCGTGAACTATAATCCACTTTTTCTAGAGTGCTAAGGGCAGTACTGATGACTGACTGATAAGTTCACAGTAGGCAGAGGTGGGTGATCTTGAGCAACAGATAAAAACTGTTCTGAGAAGGTCCCTACAAATAACACTTGCTCACAGAAAAGGAAAAGGCAGCCATTGGTCAGACACCCACGACACAGAGAAGTGAAAGCAAGTCCATGCCCTGGAGCCAAAGGAATAAAGGGGGAAGAAAGGAACCCACCCCAGAGCACCTACCCCGAAGTTCCCGGGGCTGCAGGAACGGAGGCTGCCCCGGGGTCCAGCTCTGTTCTGTTAGGGTTAGCTGTGCCACATCTTGCGCAAGCCCCCCGGTGCCAGAGTCCACGGGCGCCTCCCACTTTCCAGGCTTGGCAGGTGGAGGAGGGGCAGTCTCTGGGGCTGGAGGGGCTGGGGTCAGCCCCTCAGGAGGAGGGGGCACCTCCTCAGCAATCTTGCCAGCGTCTCCAGCTTTGGTTCTGGTTCTTCTTGCCCGAGAGTAGGACTTCTTCTCAACGGGCCTCTCTGGGGCCGGTGGGGTGGCGTCAGGAGCAGGAGCTGGCGTCTCTGAGGACGCCTCTTCCTTCGCAGGATTGGGGTGCACTTGAGCATCTGCTTCTGGGGAGGGGTCCCTCAGCGGAGTCTGCTCCAGTCGCCGGGACCGGTAACTAGTCTCATGCTTAAGAGTCTCACCAGACCGGCCACTGTATGGCCCACCCGTCTCCATGGGCCGAAAACCAGGGCGACCTTCCTTGAGGCGAGAGTAGTTCTTGGGTGTAGACATGCGGCCAGTACCTGCAGCATTCCTGTTAATAAATGTCCTGGGTGGTAACATGCCCCCAGGGCCCTGGTGGCGATGGGATTTGTTTGGTCGCTCTCCGATCCAGTTGGGCTCTCTCTGCGGAGGACTCCCAAACCTGAAAGAAAAAAAACCAGAAACAAAAACCAAAAAAAAGGAGGGAGAAAAATCTTTGGAATACAGTAACAAGAGGAACCAGCAGAGAGATAGGGAGACCACCCATAGCCCTCAGGCACTCAACTGCGGGCCGAGGGGAGTGCTTTACCTGGGCTTCCGAAGCCGGCGGGGTCGGATGTCCTCGGGGCCGCGGGCAGAGCGGATGTCATAGCCATAGAGAGCAATGAGCTCCTGCCGGGACTTGGGGGCCTGCTCGTCCTCCCGGAACTTATCATGCTCCCAGCGACCTTCATCTTTCCACAGCTTCCGCTGGCGCCCCTTAGGTCTGACAAAACCAAAGACCACAGATTGGCAGAGCTGCCAAAGAGAGACAGTCACGAAGCACACTGGGCCAGGGCGGAGCCAGCAGGGACCTTGTGTAGTCTCCCCATCTTCTCGGCCTCAACAGACAAAATTGGTCTTCTCAGAGCAAGAGTGCTGGGAATACCTTCAAGCCTGCTCGGCTCAGCCACAACAGGCAGACAGCAAGTGGCATCGCCTCCGGGGCGGCCTGTGCAAGGACGTCAGAGCAGAGGCTCTGAGCAGACAGTGGAAGTGGGATGGTCAGGGGAGCACAGGTTCTGGCCCCAGAGCGGGGGCACGTGAATCCAGAGGGACCCAGTAACCCAAGCTTCAGTTTCCTCATCCGTACAAGAGAATCGTAGTACTGACCTTCCACTGTTGTTCTGAGTAACAATAAGGTAATATTGGCAGGTACTTAGCATCGTACCTGACATACACTCATGGACATTGAGTCAATTCTGACTCAAAGTGACCCCATGGGCCAGAGGAGGCTGCCCAGGAGGTTTCCAACGCTCAAAGTCCTTCTGGGAACCGAAGCCTCATCTTCCTCCCACCGAGTGGCTGGTGGGTTCCAACTGCTGACCTTGAGGTCAGCCGTCCAAAGCAACCCACCAGCCACCAGGACTCCTCCATGGCACAGTGGTAAACACCTGCTAGCTACTAGCAGCAGCAGCAAAAGCAGCACGTGGCTGTTACCTGACTTCCTCCTCCTGGGTTTGCCCTCGAAGGTCATGCTCAAAGAAGAGCCCTTTCCGGGGAATGTACGCCGGGTTCTTCCGATCCTCATCGTCATCCAGATGCTTGGGGCCCTTTTTCCCCATTTTGTTCTCCACAGGCTCTGTGCTCTCCTGGAGAAGAGAGGCGAGCTCCTAAGCGCATCCCCCAGGAAAGCATACCCGGGGCCCACCGCAGCCCGAGAGGCGCAGGCCTCAGGTGGGTACCGACCTGGCCATCCCCGCTCTGCCGCTCCCCGGTGACTGTGCCTTTGCTGTCCGGCTTCTCTTCGCCCTTCTCTTCTTTGGCCGAGGAATTAGCAGCATCGTTGGCTTCGGATTTCAGGTCGACTTTGGAGTTTTCATCCGCACTATACTCCCCTTCTTCACCCTGCAGAAAACGTGCCCTGCCAGCTGTGACGGCAGCTCTGCCCGGTGCCGGGTAGGTTTCCCAGTCTCTTTAGGGAAGCAGCTTCTGACCCACACTGACCACAACCCACAGAAGAAAAGCAACCATACAAGTTACCAGCAGCTCCCTTCAAAAAAGCACAAGTAAGAAAAATGCGGGGGTGCGGGTCAACACACTTAAGGTTTCTAGGAAAACACGCAAGGAGCCACCATCCAAAACTACAATTCCATTTTCTGCATCAACAACTCTGTCCACCTAGTAAGAATGTTAGGCCTGACAAACGTTAAAGAACTTTAGCAACCACCTCTCATCATTCCTCTAAAAATAAAAAATCGGAAGCCCAAGTGCTCTCCCTCCTGTCACCATCTTTTCCCTGGGGACACCATGAAGGAGGGGTCAGCCTGCTGGTGGCATGGGCAGTGTTACATGCGTCCACAACAAGGAGGATCAGGAGGCCAGCCTCTAAATAGGGGCCACTGGAGTCAGGGAACAGGTGTGGCGAGCTCTGGGTAGAAGTAGCCGCTCAGGTTCACAATGAGGAGGCAGAGTTACAGGCTAGAGACCATTTGGAGAATGCAGAAACCGAGACATGGGTCCAAGGGCAGGTGATCGCATTCAAATGCCAGGGTGCAAACACTGCTGCTGCACACTGGTCACGTACTCTCCTCCTTGGGGGCCAACTTTTGGACTCAGACTGCTCCCTCCTAGCTCCAGGCCCAGGGTGGCCCCAGAAGCTGGTCAAACACACTTCACATAAGCTTCCCGATGAGACCTGCAGCTCTCCAACCCGCTTCTTGCCTCTCCAGATAGATCAGCCTATCCTTTCCCAAACCTTCCTGGCTTAGGATTTCCAGAATCCCACAGAAATGAGGACAACTGCTTGATGACACCCTTACTAGAGCCTTGACCCACAGCTTTGTGCCAACCAAGTACCACTTCCCTCAACGACAGGAGGCTTTTCCTCCTGCTAAGATGGCAATGGGTGAGAAGGTACTCAATCAGTTATTTCCGTGGGCCCGTGGTTCCCTTCAGGTCTTGGGGCAGAAATGGCAAGATTCTTGTTTGGTGTGTTGCACATGACCTTAATTGACTAAGCCGCCCCTACCAGCCACCACACACTGACTGAATTCAAACAACAGAAAATAGGACCTGCCTGATTAATGAGGAAGCTTTGTTTCAGGCTCCGCCCCTCCAGTCTGTGGTGGAATATCAAAGTAGGCAACTCTTTTATTCCAAATGAGAAACAACATTTGTTTCCAGGGCAGGGCAGAAAGGTTACAAAATAGACCTGGTCTACCTACAGGCATGCAGTTCCCCTGGCTTCCCGCTGCTCTGACTCAGAGCTGTCATCAAAACGCTTTGTACCACAGGAGACAAATTCTCTCTAGATCAGTCAGCGAAGAGTGAACGCTCTTCCTGCCCAAGACCCCCTCTCCAGAGGCTCAGAAAGAACCGTTTCCTTTGCACACTTCTCAGGGGAAGGTTTGGCTCCTCTTCCACTCCCCAAACACTTCACGGTGTTGGGAGTCTTCCTCCTTCCACGTCTCTTCCAGATGGAACTCCTCCAGCCTCTGGAAATCTCTGAGCCTGCTCGGCACCGGCTTTATCTGTCCATCTCTGCCAGGGCCCACCTGGCACCAAGACTGTCGCTCAGAGCCCCACACCCTGCCCTCAGCCCTTCCAGGCTGTGTTGTTTTGTTGGAGCAAACCTGTTTACTGATCTAAACACCCTAGTCCTCAAGCAAGGGGCTCTGGTGGCACAACCTGGAAGCACTGCCCTCAGTGGTGTGTGTGCCACCCAGCAGAGGTTTGTGGGTCAGAGCCCGACCAATCTTCCCCTGGAAAGATGACAGGAGAACACCATGGGCAATTCTATGCTAATGTGGTGGCTGTGAGTTGAAAATGGACTTCGCAGCACCTGACAACGGTCCTTGACCAAACCAATCACTCCTGTTCTCACCCACTTATCCATTCCCCTCTACCCTCTGCACCTCCATCTTCTGAAGACCACCACTTCCTTGAGCTCTCTACCTTCTCCCTAGCAGACAGCCCTTCCTCCTTTGACTCCCCATCGTTAGTTAAGGGCCCAGGGCCTCTTCCCTTGCCACCCTCACATGCCCAGGCCGGGGTCAACTCAAATGCCTGCTTTCTCTAGGCTACGACCGGGCCAACGACGGTCACTGAAAACACACACACACACACACACCTTACAACAGCTCCGTCTCCAACCTCAAACTGACAGATAACCCTCCAAAGTCTCCCTGTGTAGTTTCTGTCCCAAACCTCTCATCTAGGAATCCCCAAGCCCACCCTCACCAACCTCTTCTGGCAAAGAAATCCAAACACAGAAAAACCTGCCAGCTTCCTCCCCTCTCACTGGCACCACCCATGCTTTCTTCTTTGTAACTGCAATGGAAGGTGTTTTCCTTCAACTTTGCCTGCTTTCTATTTCTTTGGCAATCAGTCAAGGACACCAACACACTTATTACCAACCACTGGCCTTTTCTTCTCCCATCTACCTGTTCCTTCCCATCCATCTTCAACCCCAATGTTAAACTACCTCCAAACGGACTTATTCTTAGCCCCCCATGCCGTGTGTGTGTGTGTGTGTGTGTGTGTGTGGAAAAAATGGCAGCAGCACAGTTTTTAAATTTCTCTAAACCCCCCCACGAAGACAGACCTTCTAGATGATAAAACCAAAAACCTTTGGACAACATCTATAACAAAACCAGGTGACAGGGTGCTTTCTCAAGCCCCAAAATATATGCAAGCCAGTCTGCCCA